CGGCTTACGACGAATAGGAAAGCTCATCACAATCGAGGTGCGGGTAGGTGGGCGGGCTTTGTATTTTGGCTTTTTTTTTTCTTAAATGTGCGTGGTGTTCTATTCACGACAAGAACTTGAAAGCTTCTTTAAAATGGTAAATTTTTAGAGAAGGGTGGGAGATAAAATTTACTATTTTAAAAATGTTTTCAGTCGTTTGTTATGAAGAATCTGCATATTACGAAGAAAAAAAGTCAAATCATAAGCCCCGCCCACCCGCCCTTTCTTAATTGTAACGATTTTTCTTTATTCGTTGTGAGCAATAGGGCGAAACTTAATTGCAAAATTCTTATTTTTCTACGAGAAATTACCATTTGAAACATGTTCGTAAATAAAAGTGTTGTTCAAAGAAAAGTCTTAAATGAAAAAGAAAGCCAAAATTAAGCTCCGCCCCTCGGGTTACGACGAATAAGAAAATTCATCACAATCGAGATGTGGGTGGGTGGGCGGGGTTTGTATTTTAGCTTCTGTTTTCTAAAATGTGCGTACTTTTCTGTTCACGACAATAACTTGAAAACCTGTTTAAAACGATAAATTTGTAGAGAAGTGTGGAAGGTAAAAGTTACCATTATGTTAAACTTGTTTTCATTCTTTTGTCGTAGAACGTCTGCATATTAAGAAGACAAAAAAGTCAAAACATGAGCCCCGCCCACCCGCCTTGTCTCAGTTGTGACGATTTTTCTTTATTCATTGTGATTAAAAAGGCGGGGCTTAATTGCAAAATTCATATTTTTCTACGAGAAATTACCATTTGAAACATGTTCGTAAATAAAAGTATTGTTCAAAGAAAAGTTTTAAGTGAAAAAGAAAGCCAAAATTAAGCTCCGTCCCTTGGCTTACGACGAATAGGAAAATTCATCACAATCGAGATGTGGGTGGGTGGGCGGGGTTTGTATTTAACTTTTGTTTTCTAAAATGTGTGTAGTTTTCTATTCACGAAAAGAACTTGAAAACTTGTTTAGAATGGTGAAATTGTAGAGAAGTCTGGGAGATAAAATTTATCATTTTAAACATGTTTTCAATCTTTTGTTATGAAGTGTCTGTATATTAAGAAAACAAAAAAATAAAATCATAAGCTCCGCCCAACCGCCCTGTCTTAATTGTAACGATTTTTCTTTATTTGTTGTGAGCAAGAAGGCGGAGCTTATATGCAAACTTCTTATTTTTCAACGAGAAATTACCATGAGAAACGTGTTTGTAAATAAATGTGTTATTCACAGAAAATTTTTAAGTAAAAAAGAAAGCCAAAATGTAAGCTTCGCCATTCGCCTCACGACCAATGAAAAAATTTATCACAATCGAGATGCGGGTGGGTGGGCGAGGTTTGTATTTAGTTTGTTTTTTCTTAAATGTGCGTAATTTTCTATTCACGACAAGAATTTGAAAACTTGTTTAATATGATAAATTTTTAAAGAAATGTAGGAAATAAAAAAAGTCAAATCATATGCCCCGCCCACCCACCCTGTCTCAATTGTGACGATTTTTCTTTATTGGTTGTGAGCAAGAAGGAGGAGCTTAATTGCAAAATTCTTATTTTTCTACGAGAAATTACCATTTGAAATATATTTGTAAATAAACGTGTTGTTCAAAGAAAAGTTTTAAGCAAAAAAGAAAGCCAAAATTAAACTTCGCCCTTCGGTTCACGACGAATAAGAAAATTCATCACAATCGAGATGTGGGTGGGTGGGCGGGGTTTGTATTTTGGCTTTTTTCTTCTTACATGTGCGTAGTTTTCTATTGACGACAAGAATTTGAAAACTTGGTTAAAATGATAAATTTTTAGAGAAGTGTGGGAGGTAAAATTTACCATTTTCAAAATGTTTTCAGTCGTTTGTTATGAAGAGTCTGCATAGTAAGAAGGAAAAAAGTCAAATCATAAGCCCCGCCCACCCACCCTGTCTCATTTGTAACGATTTTTCTGTATTCGTTGTGAGCAAGAAAGCGGAACTTATTTGCAAAATTCTTATTTTTCTACGAGAAATTACCATTTGAAACAATCGTAAATAAACGTGTTGTTCAAAGAAAAGTTTTAAGTGAAAAGGAAAGTCAAAATTAAGATCCGCCCCTCGATTCACGGCAAATAAGAAAATTCATCACAATCGAGATGTGGGCGGGTGGGCGGTGTATATATTTTGGCATTTTTTCTTATATGTGCGTAGTTTTCTATTCACCACAAGAACCTGAAAATTTGTTTAAAATGGTAAATTTTTACACAAGTGTTGGAGGTAAAATTTATCATTTTGAACATGTTTTCAGTATTTTGTTGTAAAGAGTCTGTTAAGAAGTCATTAAGAAGACAAAAAAGTCAAATTATAAGCCCCGCCCACCCACCCTGTCTCAATTGTGACGCGTTTTCTTTATTCGTTGTGAGCAAGAAGGCGGAGCTTAATTGCAAAATTCTTATTTTTCTACTAAAAATTACAATTTGAAATGCGTTCGTAAATAAACGTGTTGTTCAAAGAAAAATTTTAAGTGAAAAAGAAAGCCAAAATTAAGCTCCGCCCCTCGGCTTACGACGAATAGGAAAATTCATCACAATCGAGATGTGGGTGGGTGGGCGGGGTTTGTATTTTAGCTTCTGTTTTCTAAAATGTGCGTACTTTTCTGTTCACGACAATAACTTGTTTAAAACGATAAATTTGGAGAGAAGTGTGGAAGGTAAAAGTTACCATTATGTTAAACATGTTTTCATTCTTTGGTTATGAAAAGTCTGTATATTAAGAAGACAAAAAAGTCAAAATAAAAGCCCCGCCCAGCCGCCCTGTCACAGTTGTGACGATTTTTCTTTATTCATTTTGATTAAAAAGGCGGGGCTTATTTGCAAAATTCATATTTTGCTACGAAAAATTACCATTTGAAACATGTTCGTAAATAAAAGTGTTGTTCAAAGAAAAGTTTTAAGTGAAAAAGAAAGCCAAAATTAAGCTCCGCCCCTTGGCTTACGACAAATTGGAAAAGTCATCACAATCAAGATGTGGGTGGGTGGGCGGGGTTTGTATTTTAGCTTTTGTTTTCTAAAATGTGCTTAGTTTTCTATTCACGACAAGAACTTGAGAACTTGTTTAGAATGGTAAAATTGTAGAGAAGTCTGGGAGATAAAATGTATCGTTTTAAACATGTTTTCAATCTTTTGTTATGAAAAGTCTGCATATTAAGAAGGAAAAAAGTCAAATCATGAACCCCGCCCACACACCCTGTCCCAATTGTGACGAATTTTCTTTATTCGTTGTGAGCAAGAAGGCGGAGCTTAATTGCAAAATTCTTATTTTTATACGAGAAATTACCAATTGACACATGTTCGTAAATAAACGTGTTGTTCAAAGAAAAGTTTTAAGTAAGAAAGAAAGCCAAAATTAAGCTCCGCCCCTCAGCTCACGACGAATAAGAAAATTCGTTACGTGTTACGTTACTGAAGGCCTTGATTGTAGGCAGAAAACAATATGTAGAATATGGGGGTTTTCAATCTGATTATTTTGATGTAACTAGTGGAGTGACTCAAGGTTCTAACTTAGGCCCTCTTCTTTTTAATATATATTTTAATTATGTGGTAAGCTTCTTCTGATTCTACATCAGATACATACTTTTTAACGACCATGCATGTGTCGACAGATTTCTTCAGTACGAATGTACAAATTCTAGAAGAAATTTAAGTGAAATTCTGTTCTAATTTAAAAAATTACACAACTCGGTTCTAACCGAGCTCCAACACATCCTTCCTCTAAGAGAGTCTTTAAACTTCACCTTCCGGCATTCCTGCAAAGACACATTAATTGCAAGTGCACTTTAATTATCAGCACAAGTGCGTCAACACCGCGACAGCCAACTCGAAATTGAACATCTTGTAAATAACGACCGAAGACAAGACGTTATTGCGGAAAGAAACCCTCTTCAGCGAACGAACAAAGGGTCGCCATCAAACTTTAAATAATCGGAACACGCAGACCTGGACAGCGACACTGAAACAAATCAAGATGACATCCGTAATAAAACTTAATGGCGATCATGCACTTAACCCTCACGGATGAGCAGTCCTTAGGACATTAACGGAACAAGCGGAAAGTCCGTTTAATCTCCCGTCCGTTAAAACTGCAAGCGAACGGTGTAGTCTAGATATACGGCTTCGAATTGATGTCTTATTTTAGGGTACCAACGGTTTAATGGTCGTGGTTTATTTTTTATGGGGAGCTCTGTTCGATTTTAATTCACTTTCGAGAAATTAGCTGATGAGCAACGAGGAGTACGCTGGACGTTGGGCCGGAGTGCTTGGTTTGATCGGGTTCATTAGTTAATTGAGATTGTAGTGGTTGGAAAAAGTCAACGTACTTGAAAGAGTTGAGATAGGAAAAGTAGAGGGTTTTTGTTGATTCGATCTTTATTAAAAAAAAATATAGCTTTTTGTGATCTTTTTGTGAGCCTAAAAAATCCAGCACTCAGGTAAAGAAATGCAGAAACCGTGTTCCAAAACTAAAATAATACTTCGAGGAACCACCATTTGAGTAGCGTTGTTGAATATATTAATAGTAAAAACTGATAGCCAAATACCTTATTTATTAATCTATTGCGTAGCCTCTAGCTGGAATTCAACATGCAACTTCAGGTCTATAATTACATCCATTGATATAGTGTCACTCCACGTGCAGCAGTTTAAATTTGACATTGTTTGTTATCATCGCAAAAAAATGCAAATAATATAATTATACAGTTACTCATACCGTTTTCCATTTTTGTTACAAATGCATTAAATTCGTCTTGAATATGCAATGCAGTTCTTATCATTTACCGTTAAAGAAAGCTATCGGTTGTGTTTCAGGTGCACTTGTCTCGTATGCAAACGTGCGGCCTTGATTGGCGTTTGAACAGTGTGGTGCACGCTTATTGGTTAAAATGTTCCCGTCGCTATTTACTTATCCTATCAGAAAAGTGCACAATAAAAAACATTATCAATGTAAGTGCAGCGATAGTGATTATGTTGATAATGTTGTACTATAAATAAGCGACTGCACAATTATTTGCCACTAATAATCGAAAAATGAAACTCTACGTGTATTTACTTCTCGTCACACTTGTGACCTATTCCTTGGTGAGCATTTTTGTATGTAGAACCCAATACTAATTCCGTGTTATTTAAGGGACTAAATGATGCTCAAATAAATGAAAGTCAACACGCAACCAAAAAATGTGAAAAGGAGAATCCAGATGTTGATACAAAAGAAATAGACAAGTTGCTTCACAAGTCGGACGACATTTCAAAAGAGAAATCTGACGACGCCTTTAAAAGATACATGGTTTGCATACACAAAGAGATGAAATGGTTAAAACCCGATGGTACTTACGACACCGATCGTCTAAAAAAGTGGATTAAAATGGGAGGTCAAAGTGACGAAGAGGCAGATGAAATTATTAAAGAATGCATCGTATATAAGGGCTCGGAGATCGAAACAGTATGGGGTGTTTCCCAGTGTTTGTATAAACATAATGCTTGAACTGTATTGGAATATAAAGTATATAAATTTCCAATAAATTGTTACTTAAATTATATATTTTTCTGTAGATTGGGAGTGGGGCTGTTAAAGAAGCAAAAAAAAGTCTAACCGTAATTTTTAGATTTATTTCGTATTTTATAAGAAAAAATTAGTGAGCGGGTGGGTGGGCGGGGCTAAGTTTAACTTTTCCTGAAGAGTCTTTTATAAGAAAGCAATAACCCCCCAACCATCGCCTCTTCATTCCAGTGAGTACTTTTAATATTGTTCAGTCTTATCTTAGCAAGCCCTAGACCCGCCCACCCGCCCTCTATTTCCTTAGAATGTAGGTTATTTGCCAAAATCAGTCTTATCGTAGCAAGTACTAATCCCACCCACCCACTCACGTTCTTCTCATACTAAGGACTAATTTTCTTTTTATTCAGTATGGGATCCACTTCCATTCAGACAATATAAAATGAATCACCGAAATGTAGGCCGGGTTAATTATATGTTCTTCTACAGAATGGGACTGACCCTGTTAAAGAAGCAAAAAAAAAGGCTAATCGTAATTTTTTTGTTATACTATTTGCTACAAGATTTATTTCTTATTTTAGAAGAAAAATTTAGAGAACGGGTGGGTGGGTGGGGCTAAGTTTAACTTTTTCCTGCAGTCTTTTATAAGCTACCAATACCCCTCCCATGCATCCCCTCTTCATTCTCTTACGTTGTTCAGTCTTATCTTAGGAAGGTCTATTTCAATTGGGATGATTTTTTTTAAATAATTATGTCCTTATGCTGAAGAAGTAGAAAATGAAGAAAATGATACTTTGGATTCTTCTAAGTTAGACAGTGAAGTTAAACAAGCTGTGAATAGTATCCAGACTAACAATAATGACATTAAAACAAACCCACAAGAAAACTGTAATTCATAACTTAGGGAAAACGACCTCGATTACAATATTAAGGAGTCGAATTTATCTTCAAATAGTTCGGGCTGTACTCTTCCGATGCCTAGGAAAGTGAATAACCATGAAACTGAAACATTCGAGCCTATTTCAAAGAAATGTACATACCTTAAATGGATTTTTTCAGAAGACACAGGAATGTGCTTTGATTTTGAAAAATATAAACTCCAGCAATCACACGAGATTTTCAACAACTAATACCACTTATAACTGTCTTTTTTAAAAATGTAAAACCTTCTCGAGGGTGTCAAATGTCTTTTTTTTTAATGTGAAACCTTCTCTCGGACTCCAAATATAAATTTTTAAAAATGTGAAACTTAATGTTGTAAAAAGCAGTCTACACATATTAAAATAAAAAGGCAAAATGTAAGCCCGCCCACCCGCCCTATCTCAATTGTAATGATTTTTTTTTATTCGCCGTGAAGCAAAGGGGCGGAGCTTAACTGCAAAATACTTACTTCTTTTTAGAAGAAATTAAAAACATGTTTTCGAGTATCGTGTTGTTCAAAGAATACTATGCATATTAAGAAAAAATGCAAAATATGAACCCCGCCCACCCACCCCGTCTCAATTGTGGTGATTTTTTTTATGCTTAGAAACTTTAAACACGTTTAAAATGGTAAATTTTTGTAAGGAAATAGGGATTTTGGAATTAGGCTCCGCCCTTAGGTCTGCCAACGAATAAAAACTTCATTATTATTTAGATCAGGGCAGGAGGCAGGGGGCAGGTATGAGTGGGGCCTAATCTTTGGCTTTAATTTTTTTTAATATATATAGTATTTTTTCGAACAACACAATACTCAAAAACATATTTTTAATTTTTTGTAGAGAAATAAGGATTTTGCAGCTAAGCTCCGCCCTCTTGGCTAACGATGAATAAAAAAAATCATCACAATTGGGAGAGGGCGGGTGGGCGGTGCTACATTTGGCCTTTTTTGCTTAATATATATGCCCATCTTTTCACAACAAGAAACTTACACATGGTTAAAATGGTACATTTTTGCAAGGAAATATGGATTTTGCAGTTATGGGGCGGAGCCTAATTACAAAATCTTATACAAATTTTCCATTTTAAATATGTTTTAAGTTTCATGTTGTGAAAAGAAGTCTACACATATTAAAACAAAAAAAGAAAATGTAAGCCCGCCCACCCGCGCTATCGCAATTGTGATGATTTTTTTATTCACCGTGAACCGAGGAGGCGAAGCTTAACTGCAAACTACTTATTTTTTTACAGGAAATTTAAAACATGTTTTTGAGTATTGTGTTGTTCAAAGAATACTACGTATATTAACAAAAAAATATCAAATTTAAACCTCGCCCACCAAACCCATCTCAATTGTGATGACTTTTTTTTATTCTTAGAAGCTTAAAACACGTTTACAATGGTAAATAATTTTGTAACGAAATATGGATTTTGCAATTAAGCTCCGCCCCTGGGTCTACCAACGAATGAAAATTTCATTACTATTTAGATCAGGGCAGGTATAGGGTGGGGCTTAATCTTTGGTTTTAATTTTTTCTCAATATATCTACATAGTATCCTTTGAATAACACGATAGTCGAAAGCATGTCTTACATGGCAATTTCTTGTAGAGATAATAAGGATTTTGCAATTAAATTCCGTTCCTTTGACTATCGACGACTCATCAAAAAATCATCACAATTGGGATAGGGTGGGTGGGCGGGGCTTATATTTTGCATTTTTTTTCTTAACATACGTAGTCGTCTTTTCACAACTTAAAACATGTTTAAAATGATAAATTCTTGTAGACAAATATTGATCTTGCAATTAAGCCCCGCCCTTCGATCTGACAATGAATGATAAATTCATCACTGTTGAGATCGAGACGGATGGGTGGGGCTTCTCTTTCGATTTTCTTTTTTAATTAATACATTTAGTTTTCTTTGTATAAAGTGATTACTTAAAAACACATTTCACATGGTAATAATATCGTAGAAAAATAAGGATTTTACAATTAAGCTCCGCCCCTCGGCTTGCGATGAATAAAAAAATCATCAGTATTGAGGTAGGGCGGGTGGGTGGGGGTCATATTTTGCCTTTTTTTCTTCATATACACAGCGATCTTTTCATAATAAGAAACTTAAAACATGGCTAAAATGGTTTTTGCAAGGAAACATGGATTTTGCAATTATGGGGCGGAGCCTATTGCAAAATCGATATTTCCTTATACAAATTTTACATTTTAAGCATGTTTTAAGTTTCATGCTGTGAAAAGAAGTCTACACATATTAAAACAAAAAGGCAAAACGTAAGCCCGCGCTCCCGCCCTATCTCAATTGTGACGGAGCTTAACTGCAAACTACGTATTTCTTTACAAGAAATTTAAAAAGAGTATCGTTTTGTTCAAAGAATACTGTGTATATTAAGGAAAGAAGGCAAAATATAAACCCCGCCCACCCACCCCATCTTAATTGTGATGTTTTTTTAATTCTTAGAAACTTAAAACACATTAGGTCTGCAAACGAATGAAAACTTCATTACTATTTAGATCAGAGCAGGTATGGGTGGGGCTTAAACTTTGGCTTTAATTTTTTCTCAATATATCTACATAGTATGCTTTGAATAACACGATGGTCAAAAACATGTCTTACATGGCAATTTCTTATAGAGATAATAATGATTTTGCAATTAAATTCCGTTCCTTTGACTATCGACGACTCATCAAAAAATCATCACAATTGGGATAGGGTGGGTGGGCGGGGCTTATATTTTGTATTTTTTTCTTAACATTCGTAGTCGTCTTTTCAGTATTTAAAACATGTTTAAAATGGTAAATTCTTGTAGACAAATATTGATCTTGCAATTAAGCCCCGCCCCTCGATCTGACGATGAATGATAAATTCATCACTGTTGAGATCGAGACGGATGGGTGGGGCTTCTCTTTCGATTTTCTTTTTTAATTAATACATTTAGTTTTCTTTGTATAAAATGATTACTTAAAAACACATTTCACATGGTAATAATATCGTAGAAAAATAAGGATTTTACAATTAAGCTCCGCCCCTCGGCTTGCGATGAATAAAAAAATCATCAGTATTGAGGTAGGGCGGGTGGGTGGGGTTTATATTTTGCCTTTCGTTCTTCATACACACAGCGATCTTTTCATAATAAGAAACTTAAAACATGGTTAAAATGGTTTTTGCAAGGAAACATGGATTTTGCAATTATGGGCGGAGCCTATTGCAAAATCAATATTTCCTTCTACAAATTTTACATTTTCAACATGTTTTAAGTTTCATGCTGTGAAAAGAAGTCTACACATGTTAAAACAAAAAGACAAAATGTAAGCCCGCCTGCCTGCCCTGTCTTAATTGTGACGTAGCTTAACTGCAAAATACTTATTTCTTTACAAGAAATTAAAAATGAGTATCGTGTTGTTCAAAGAATACTATGTATATTAAGAAAAAAAGCAAAATATTAACCCCGCCCACCCACCCCAACTCAATTGTGATGTTGGATTTTATTATAATAAAAAGGCGAGCGCAGCGAGCACGTTCAGGATGTTTCAGTAGCTGATTACAAACAATGTTTAAACTAGCATTTTTAAATAACCAAATTATTCTTAATAATTTAGCTTCTCAGGGACACTAATAAATATTTTTAAATTTCACCTGAACGTGCTCGCTGCGCTCGCATTAAATTTGAAATCAAAATAAGTTGGTGGAGTCTCATCTGTTTTAAATCATTTGTTGTTGTCGGTTTGACGAAATTCTTATTATTTCCTAAAATATTCGCACACAGTTTAGGCAACCCATTGACCAAAAGCGTTTATGCAAGAACATAATTTTATATAAAAAACGCATTTAGACAGAACTTTCCGCTGCATTGAAGTACAGGCAAACTCGTCGAAAAATAACACGGATTCATAAACCACAAGTACAGGAGAAAGTTATTTTATAATAGTGCTAAGAACTTATGATTTATATAAATAATCATGTGTTTAATGGAATCTAGTCAAGTTATTCTGGGACAAAAACAACAAATGACCCAACGAACTCAAACCCTAGAGATACTTGACAAAACATTTTTCAACTTCAATCTACACAAAATCCCTTTGGTCAATTTTCGAAAAAGGTCAAAAATGGT